GCTAACATTCTAGATTAGAAAATTCAACCTCAGCAATTCACAATTATCATCACATTTGGTTATGGCATCCATTTCCAAAAAATGCAGAGTTATGCTGCACCAACACTCCGATGCTGCAGTCAGTAGTGACAGAAGCCATTAGCCGAGCCTTCCTCAAGCAACTCCTGGTGGCAGCAAAGTGAAGCCTGAAGGTGAGCCAGATTCCATGTGCCTCACTAATCAATTTGTGCTATCCAGAAGTGGAACTGTGGTTGTGTAAATTTTTTAAATTTAATTCTGATCAGTAACGTTAATTATTTCTCAGGAGTTTCATTATCATATATGATAACATTGCATGGGGATATGCCACCTCATGAGTCTCACTCTTCTGGTTGATATCAACTTTTTGTCTGAAGCTCACATGACTCATCAATTTGGTGTGTATTATATTTACTATGAGATATCTTGCTCTTAAGCAATTGGCACCAGTACACCAATATATATTTCCAGCCTTTGAAATAGGTTGACCCTCCACCAGTCCCTAAAGTTCCTGCTATCTCCATCAAGGAGGAGCCTGAGGATGAGACTGAAGAAGTATCCAACAAAGAGGAACCGTTTTTATATGGAAATGAGGTAGGTGAAGTTGATATGTAAATAAAGGTTTTGCAAAGCAGTTCAATTCTGCATAAATTTTATTGAAATAAATTATCACAAGGCTATTTCCATTATTAAATCTTCAAGTAACACGAGGAAAAAATCTTTACCCAGTAGTAGTCTGAAATGTAGAGCAATAACAAGTAGGTATGTATGAGGCATCCTCATCTTGATTCAATAATTAGTTACAAGTTATTGCAAATTTTATCTCTAATGTCTCATGTTAGGGTTGCTATCCTGGGTTGTAAGTCATAAACTTTTCCCATACCTGATTGTATCAAGTAAAAATGATATGCAATAGCCCCTATTTGCGGGATTCATGCCAAACTTATCATATTTTCTTGTTCAATGCTTCTTCCTTGCTTGTCAAAGAATGAATGAGAATAGAGTAGAGAATTGCAAAGAATGGAACTGGAGAATATTCAAGTCAATTGATATAAGTTTTTAACTCTGATGCAACATTATAACTGGGCACACTAGCAGGTGGAACAAATTTGTTATTCACTTAGTGAAAATTTATTCTTATATTAGTTGTCACAGAAAAAAAGAATTAATTAATTAGGGATTTGTTTTATTCAAGTATTTATTTTCATTCTATTAAAAGATAAGCCTAAATGTTGAAAATTTTTTTACATATAAAAATTAATTAGACAAAACTCATAATTGGGATTGCATCAATAAACTTTTAGATAAGACTTAGGATAGTGGAATCAAGGATGGAACAATATAAAATTGCATTCACAGAGCAACTGAAAAAAACAAATGAATATAAATACACATGCAATAAGAGACTGTCTATTAAATTATTAGCCATGGGAGGGGATGTAGTAAAGTTAATTTAACTTGAAGCATGTAGCAGTATGAGTGGGATAGGGAACTAATAAATATATTATTGGGTAAAACAGTTATGGGCAAATGCATGTGCAGATCTTTTATGTGCAAAAATAATTTGAGAAAGGAAAGTAATTATCAAAAGTACACACACCACACTAAAAATTAATTAAGCTGACAGAAATGAAAAGAACCATTGTAACATTTATTGATTAATGACAATAGAATGAACATGAACTAAAATCCATAACACACAATCAATGAACAGCTGAGGATGTCGGTCAATACCGGACATCTCCGGGGGCGGCGAAGGACTGACGTCCTCGTCAGTCAATGCAGGAAGAAAATTACGTTAATTCTTACGTCGAGTTATGAATATTGAATTCGTACATCATTAATTCAAGAGTAACTATATTCGTTGAGTAACTGAGTAAATACAACAAAAACAGGAACTGTTAAAAGAGAGGTACCAACGGGCACAACACAAAACTCGATAAGCAAAACTCATAAAATTATAGGGTATCCTAAGGTTTATCCTACGGGAAATATATAAGTTTTCTTGGTCTTCTTAGGTCTTCTTTCTTGCATTTCTTCTCAGCAATCTTCTTTCTTGCATTTCTTCTCAGCAATCGGTCTTCATGATGCTCGCCAACAGAAAAAAGGCATTAGAATTTTCTTCCGATTAGGTTGCAACATACACAATTTAAATCATTAACAAAACCCAACTGTTAAGTGGATCTTGTGAGGTTTTCGAACTGCTCAATTATTTACGTTAATTTGGCTCTTACAATGGCCATCGTTAAAATTATTGAAAGTTGACAAAACTTGAACATCAGGGAAAGAGGTTTACAAACTTGAACTTAATTCTAGTTTACAACTCAACAAAGCGGACTAGGTCCTTAAAGTGCTGATAAAATATGCAGATAATCAATGCAGATAATTAATGAATCCTTAATACTAGTAATAATGATATATAACAACTAATAATTTGATGTGCTGGAAAAGAACATTAACACATCCTCAGTAATACTCCAAATTAATATTAGTTGTCTTTATCAGTCGGAATCCTCCGAGTCTGATTCGTGAGCCCCAAAATCTCCACCATTGATGGTGAGACAAGGTTTCGCCGTCGCCAATGGTCGGGTTAACTCTACCTCCGTGGTGGGACTCGCTAGCTCTGCCTCCGTGGTACGACTTACGTTCCTTCCCCCCTTGGGGTGCGAGGTCACCCGAGTGTTAGGCTCGCGGACAACCCCTTCCGCTGGAGATCGAGGAACGGAGGCTTGTCTCACGACTTCAGTTTGATTTACTACCGTTACCGTCGTTGCAGCGGGCAGAGTCGAGGGTCGAGGCGACGCCTCCATCGCGTTGCTGAGCATCATTCGCTCGACAGTCGGTAGCACGGGCGCGATACCTCTGACTCGCGGACGTCGTTTTCAGTGGCAGTACAGGACAATGGAAGCAATGATACCCAAGAGTAAAATGACTGTTATGGAACCGTGTATGGCATGAAAGTGAGGAAACCATACCAGCGTGTGCTGTTTGTGAGCCTCCAGTGCGACATTCAGCTGTCGTACGTCTTCCATATTTGATTCCAGCTCGCTTACCAGATGTCGGGTGAGCTGGGTCTGTGAGACTTTGACCGATGGCATGGACGATAAGGGAAAAATCTTCACCCGGTTTGAGTCTGCGCGCATGGACGTCACGACCTTCGTCCGGTACGTACCTTTTGAACCAAGCAAAAAGCAAGGTGCGTAGATTGACACGATACCTGAGACAATTTGTGTCGAGCGCACGCTCGGGCTGGAGGAGTTACATCTTATCTTTACCAATGTCGGTTGCAGGAATGCAACATGCCACTCATTAGTTGTAAAGACGCCATACTCTTGTAAAGACGACTCCACAGGTTCGTATTCACATTTCGCACTATGTTGGTGCGTTTGGAGCAAGGTCAAGATGCACGATGGTTCAAAGACGGTTTGTGTAGCAGCGATGCTCGGCTCACACAAGTATAATACGCTTGTGCGGTGACACTTCGATACGTCCTCGAGTTCCAGGAAGGACGCAGTATTAAATGCTACAAACCTGGGCACTCGGCTTAACCATTTGAAGCTCGTTACATTACCAACTGATGTTTTGACTGGCAATCTCTGGAGGGACACCAAATCAAAAATCTTATCGTTCTGCACGAAGGGCACGCGTACGAGGTACGTGTACGGGGTCTTAGTTTTCGTTACAGACAGGAGTTGTAAGGCTACGTCTTCGTGATCATCAATCTGTGCATTTGATAGCGGGAAAACTCCGATATTATCCTTAATTCCCGATGCAATAAATTCTTTGAGTGACTCTCGGTCTATCAGGTTCACCAATATGTTCAAATCTAACAGTCTTGTCTCAAGTTTAAGATTCTCACTAACTGAGATTAAATGGGTACCGGTTACAATCAAGTCTTCTAGCACGTCAGATAGGATGCTAAATTTCTCTAGCGTAGTTATATCATTCTGTTGTTTAGCTAGATCCATAGACAAGTTAGCAATAGCATCTAGTGACCGGCTAACAATTTTACTTAGTTTTAATTCGTTAGCGTACAAGGTCTTGGCTTCCATTAGTAGTGAATTTGTCACTTCCCTAAGTTCCTGTACATCTCTGTCAACGGCAAGGCCAAAGAGACCGTGGAGAATTTCTCCGCCTATATCAAAGAGGCCCCGACGGGTACGGCTTACAGAAGATGAGACATTTAACAATCGGTACCAGTGATTTACTAAGTCGACGGAAGCTTCGCTGACATTAGCTAAGGTCAAGTACGAGTAACGGTTAAATACAGACACCAGATCGGTAACTTCGAGTTGTGCTAAGAGTTCTCCTAAGATGAATCCTAACTTAGCTAGCTCACCAGTTACAAAGCCTTTTTCGGCGTCGTCCAGTGCAGGGAATAGCCCTTTGGTATGACGTACCGTACTTTCCGTGAGTTCAAGAATCGACAACAAGTTATCGAGGAGGAGACGATGAGAGCTGAGTTCGATTTTCACAAATGTAGATCCACTCACCAGTTTAAGTGGAGGGAGTTCCGTGACCACTAAGCCGACTGTCAGGAGCGGATTAGGAGTCGCTTCCCCACTACCACTCGGGTTCAGACCCATGAGCGCCAGTGTAGCGAACCAGAGCACCCGGCTCAGCTTCCTGAAAAGCTTTACATTAGTCGCTACTCGCAACTGGCATGATATAGGTCTACACAGTTAAAAAAAATTATTCACAATGGCTAAATGACACTATTAATAGGGGTCACCATAGTTTCACGTGTGCAAAAAAAAATATTATACTTATTGTTTAATGATAATGGATCGTGTTAATGATCCGCATACGGGAGAGTGATCTGTACAACATCAAGTTGCATGAACAAAACTTACATTTTTTTTATGACAATAAGAACAGAGTTCTGTCAAGATGATTTCATAATTCAACAGCAGATAACAAGACTGCACACGGCGGTAGGCTGCTCTCGTATGAGCAAGAACATGTACGTGCGGGCTTTTTAAGGTTGCCTAAGCATATGTTTGCATACCCCAAAATGAGAACACTCTATTTCAGGGACTATCACGTGAACAGTTTCATTGTTAACAAACTTCTAATCCTAGTATTCAATCCCATCATGGTGATCGAGGGCAAGGTTTGTTATTTTTTTTATTCATCTCTTCTGTTCTCCTCAGGCAACTGCCGATATTTGCTGACATTCGCCTAGACATTTGCTGACATCCGTCTAGACAATGAAGCCTGATCTTAAAACATGATTTCTCGCAAACGAGGCAAGATTTCTAGCACTCTCGAGCTACTGTTGCATCGGCAGAAAAAAAATTCACTAGAATTTTACAACATGGCACGAATTCCGTTACAATGTATGCTCAACTTGAACATCGCATCACCACACCGTTACAGTTTTAATGTGTCGCTCTAATGGTGACAAGCCAAAATGTTATCTACGTGACATCGACGGATTTTATTTGTTATTGCGTGTTTGACGTTATACACACTGTCGCTAAGTATCTCGGTTACGATGTACGGGCCTTCGAAGTTGTGTGCAAACTTCTTACATTCGTTTTCACGAGGCACGTGTCTAACATAACAGCGTTGTCCGACTGAAAGCGTTCGTTTTTTTTTTTGTTTGTTTTTTTCTTGTCGTTTTTTTCTCTGTTCTCTTTTTGAGCAGTTTTTTGATATTTTCGCGTTTTGTCGCGTTTTTGTGTTTTTCTACGCTATAGATCTTGTTATTTTTATAGATTGGAGATTTCTGCTCTGGTAATTCAATGGACGCTGGATGGTTCTTATCGGCTGAGAAAAGAGCCCAGTGGCTGGAATCTCCGATTGAGACATTAAACGCTGTATTAATAGCTGACATACATTCGGGAAGGAAAAAATCCCATTCGTCCGAGTTCTCTGCGTGAACGAAATGTTTAAGTACACGAATAACATGAGAATTATGTCTCTCAACTAAACCGTTCGAACTTGGTTTTTGAGGTGCAATCTCTACTTTCTTAATGCGGAAATTATCATACAAGCTCTGCATCAATTCGCTTGTGAACTCCTTAGCGTTATCAGATATCAGCTTACGTGGGCAACCGAAAGGTGCGAATAAGTGTGTTCTGAGCGCTATTGCAATGTTTTCTGAGCGTTTGTCGCGTATTGCCACGATTACTGAAAAGCGTGTCAGGTAATCAGTTATCACAAGTATATACTTGTTTCCTGCACTTGTTTCAGGTAGGGGACCCACCAAATCCATGGATGCAATATCCCAAGCTTTGTCAGGCAATTGGAATTTACCAATTGTGGTCTTGCGTGAAATTCGTCCAGTTGCTTTGATACAACTTTCGCATGAGTGCACGACGTTCAGTACTTCTTGATTTTCGTTCGGATGGTAGAAATCGAGGCGAAATCGTTTTAATGAACGTTCATGGCTATAATGACCCATGTTTACAGGTTCATGACAAGCTCGTACCGTGTCGGTCAAGAATTTGTCTGGCACGCAAACGTTAATTCGTGCATCTGCACGGCCTGCACGCTCGACGCTACGTTTGTAATAAAGTACGCCGTTTTGCATGAAAAAATGCGTTAGCTTAGTTGATTTAATTCTCGGGGCTGCAGTGTTATCAGATGACTCTGTGTTATTCGTGAGCCATGCTCTTATTTTGCGCCATGTCTCACAGTCTTGCTGCGCCTCAGCGAGCTGCACGTCATCACTCCATGGTAAGGTAGCGTACATGACTGGCTCGTGCTGCCTGGGGTCAACGGGCTCATGTGCGCGTGTCGCGTACACACGCTGTTCGAAGCTCTGCTCGATGTCATCCATCACGTGATCATTCGCTGCTGTATCTGATGGAATGCGGCTTAGTGCATCGGCTAAGACATTCAGTTTACCAGGTATGTATTTCACAGTGGCCTCAAATTCTTGCAGCATCAAATTCCATCGAATTAGCGTATTGTCTTCTGGCATTGTGTTAGAGAAAAGAGATACCAGAGGTTTGTGATCAGTTAAGATTGTCACTTTATAACCAAGGGCAATGTAACGGAACTTTTTTAATACAAAGATAACGGCTAGAGCTTCCTTTTTTTGTCGTGGAATAACGTTTCTCTGTGGCTGTAAGGGTCTTGGACGCGAAACAGACAGGTAGATATATGCCTTCATGTTTCTGCACCAGAGCTGCCCCAACTGCGTGGTTAGACGCGTCTGTCACAATCACGAAAGGTTTCTCATAGTCCGGGTGCTGCAAGACAGGGTCTGCAAGTAACTTTTCTTTAAGCAATATGAAGGCGTTTTGCGTCTCCTCTGTCCACTCGAATTTTACATCCTGTTTTAGTAAATCAGTCAGAGGAGCTGCGATTTTTGCGAACTCACGTATGAACCTTCTGTAATAATTGACCACACCCAAAAAGCGTTTGACCTCGGTAGCATCTTTTGGAACTGGGTAGTTTCTTATTGATTCTGTCTTGTCGTCATCGATTTTAACGCCATGCGCGGAGACAACGTGGCCCAAGAATTTGATCTCTTGTTTGAAAAATTCGCACTTTTCTAACTTGACTTTCAAGCCTGCGTCGCGAATTTTGTGCATAGCTGCTTCGATGTCGCTTAGATGCTTCTCTTTTGATTTAGAGAAAATAATGACGTCGTCGAGGTAGACGAGGGCTGAAACTCCGAGCAAAGTATTCAACGTCGCGTTCATTAGGCTTTGGAACACGCACGGGCTATCGACTAATCCAAATGGAAGTCTTTTAAATTTGAAATGGCCCTTCGGCGTTGTGAACGCGGTTTTGTCGGAACTCTCATCTGTTAGTGGGCATTGCCAAAAAGCCTGGGCCAGATCTACTATTGAGAAGTACTTATTTCCACGCAAGGTATTGATGAGGCTAGTTATTTCGGGCAAGGGATACCTAGCTGGCTGCGTAATCGCGTTTAGCTTTCTGAAGTCAGCGACAAAGCGAAAACTGCCATCTTTCTTTTTAACCATAATGACAGGAGAATTCCAAGGCGACGATGTAGGTTCGATAATTCCGTCTCGAAGCATTTCATCAACTGCTTCGTTTAATTTGCTTTCGTGAGAATGCGCTATCTTATATTGCTTGATGTACACGATGTCATTTTTGTGCTGCTCTTGTAATTTAATATCGTGGGTGAGCAAATGAGTATTACCGACTGGTTCACCTTTTAATGCTACTGCAGCACGATTTCTATTTAGGATTGACATCAGCTGAAGCAATGTGTCGCCAGTTTCCGGCGTGTTAATATCGCTTGCTTTAAGCGGCCTGGGCGGCTCGTTGGGGTCTTGATTTAAGTGTTCCCCATTTTTGAGACGTTCTTCCGTACTTGTCAGGGTTCGAATCTGAACAGTTTCAATATCGATTCTCTCGAGGCTCGACAAAATTTGATTTTCATTCAACACAACTGTGTAAGCACAGGGATTTAACAACAAGACTGGGCATTTGCCATCTTTGATATTTACCAAACTTGACGCTACGAGAACACTATTAACGGCGTTTTTCTCTATTAGATAATTACCGTCAGGAATTTTGCGGCAATGGATTGTCATAGCATAATTACTACAAGCTGGTACTTCTGTCCTGTCGTTCACGTGTAAATACAGTGAGCGCGCATCAGGTGCAATCTGGTCTAAGCTGCGAGCGCCTGTTATCTTGCTTTTGCAAAGCTCGCCTGCCTGCTCGAGTTCAGCACCCTGCTGCTTGCTTTCCTGCATGAGGTTGTCACGTGTGCACTCGTGTATGCTCGCGAGCGTGTGCGCGGGCAACGCACTGGAAGATTCTGTGCGTACGTCTGTTTGTGCTTGCATTTGATCGCTGTTGCCTTTGCATGCATTGTCTGCAATAGCTTGACCGTCAGCAGTGAAAGTTAACTCATTAGTTCTGAAATTAATAACAGCTTTGGATTTAACAAGTAAATCTGTTCCAACGAGTATTTGACAGGGAAAGCTGGTTTTGTCTTCGACCACTAGCGCTTTGATATTAATCATTTTATTATTCGGCAATTTAATTGAGAGGTTTGTCTCCCCTTTTATTGCTAGTTCGTCACCGGTAGCGGATACAGCTACAATATTTGTAGGCGTAATTTCTGCACGTTGTTTTACTGCGTTAAGCTTCACTAATGTGCTTGTACTGCCAGTATCTACGAAACCATCTACTAGATCATCGTTCACGACGAGTTTAATTACAGGGACACGGATATTCTCGTTGTCTCCTTTTTCATCGAAAATCTTTACTGTTGAAGATCTACTTTTAACTAAACACAGCGAGCATTTTTCCCATTTTGGGGCAACATCATTTGAACTATCATTTTCGTTCGTTAATTCAGCGTGGAGATCAGCATCGTCGGAGTTGGCACTTAGTATTTCTAGGCTAACTCGTTTATCTAACCGTATACAGGATTTTTTGGACTGCCTTTTAGGTCAGTGAGTGGCATTGTACTTAGAGAACTCGTCAGGTCTTTCTCCGATTCCAATTCAGTCAAGTCGGTAGGAAAAATGTTTTTCGAAGGCATTCCGGAATTCTCTCCGATACACACTTTTCGATCCGAGAAAACCAAATTATTCTCAGAGTGCTTTTGCATAGGAACATTGCACTTACATGGCTTATTTGCTAGCTTACATTTAGAGCACATGTGCGTTAGTTTTGCATCAGTACAATCAAAAGAAAATTTTACATCATCACTGTTGGATTTGCGAGAGGAACAATTTGTTACCTCTCTCGCCTGGCGTCAATCATTGTGAGAATCATCAGTGTGGTTCTCTTCTACATTAAAACCTGTGGGATAAGTGTTAGTACGACAAACATTTACATTAGGATTAAGACGACGGTACTCAACTTGTTGATTGTTGTTTGAGTGGCTGCCTCTCGTGCTGTATCCACCTCTTGGGGGTGTTTGATTGTTCATTGGTTGGCCGAAATATCCTCCTCTTGACGGTGTCGGATTGTTCGTTGGCTGGCCAGGGTATCCACCTCTGCCACGGTATCCTCGGCCACCACGTCGCGACCGGCGGCCGCGGCCTCGTCGGTTACCTCGCGGGGCCGCTGTTGCTGCGTTTATTGCAGTCGTCGTCTCGGCGGTCATTGAACTCGTTGCTGCTGCTGTTGGTTGTTTCTCGGTGTACAATTTATGTACGCTCTTCGCTGGGGTTTTTCGGTAGATATCTTTTTCTGTGGCTACCACATGATGCGTTAGTGCAGAATATGCGTTTGCTACGCGGTCATTGGCCGTCCGTTTTAGGAGGGTGTCGGTGACGACGCGCTTCTTGAAGACTAAGCTGGCACCCATGTCGAAAACAACTTCTGTGATGACGTCGACTAGAGGACGTTGTTCTACGGCTGGATTGTAACTGCTGCGGTTTACGAAAGTTTTCGCTACTTTGATGACTGCGTCGCGCAGTGCGTAAACGTTTTGTGTAGCGTTTATTTTTTCGGGTTTCGCGGCGTGTGCAACATCGAAGAACTCCCTGGCGGCATCTACGAAAGAAACGCATGTGACTCCTGAGTACGTGAGTAGGAGGTCCTTTTTCACGTCTTCATAAGTAAAGCCTAAGTGATCATCGTTAAGGTATTTATTTACGACCGTTCGTGCATCACCCCATTTTTTATGGGTGCGTTGTGCTAATTGCTGGATACGACTACGATCGTCAGTCAACCCCGTGGATTCAAAATGAATAGTCATATGATCCAACCATGTTTTCACGTCCGTTTCAGCCGTACCGACTGATGCCGGTGGCTCGCCTTGCAATACATGACCACGAAAGTTTGGAATCTCATTCGGGCTCGGAACGTATGTCATAGCAGGTCGGCTATTTACCATATCCGTCGTTGATGATCCCGATGTTGGCCCGACAGCGGCGTGCGTTGTAGCGGGCGTAGATGTTGCGCTTGGTTGCGTACCGGGTTCCATCTCCACTTTTGGTTCCCTGTCTGGGTACCTAATGGGCACTTTTCTGGTACGCACTGGACGCACTCCAATATTTAGGCTGTCTTCTAGATCTGAGTCACTGCTATTTTGCATTTAGTATCACTGTCAATCAATCACTTCACTTCTCATCTGTTCGTTAGCGCCACTGTCACAGCTCGTGTTTTGACTTTAAGCTATGCTATCAGATTATTGGTTCATCCATGGTGAATTTTATTGACTGATGTTGGAGGTTTAGATAATCAAAGAAAAGGGCCACATGAGAGGGATGCTTGAAAAGTAAAAAAGTCTCATCGACATGTCGGTTATAAAAAAACAGGTTTAAAATCAAGAGGACAATTGGCCAGCCATTTAGTCTCGTGAAAACACATAAAAATATTAGCAAATGTAGGACCTAGTGGTAGACCCATACCCAGGCCGTTAATTTGTCTGTCAAATTTGCCGGCAAATACAAAACACGAGTTTAAAACAGATAATTCAAGAAGTGATTTAAAAATTTTGCGGTTCAAACCTATGACAATGTTATTAATCTCTTTGAACAGTGAATTTAGGCAAATATCAATAGTTTCATGGAGAGGTATATTTGTATATAAACAGCTCGTGTTTTGACTTTAAGCTATGCTATCAGATTATTGGTTCGGGGTTCTTAGAAGTGGCCTAGTCTTGACAGCCAAGGGGACTGAAAGACAGAGTTGACTTTAAGTGAACTATATTATATTACGGAACGCGTGACAAAGCGGGGTGACTATATTAGCAAGGCTTTAGCTTCAGCCAGCTAACGTGTTGCTAGAGTGGCTGGCGAGTGACTGACTATCGGTGCTGAAGGCACAGTAGAGAACCGCAAGTGTGATGTCACTGAAGGTGGCACACACAATCAATGAACAGCTGAGGATGTCGGTCAATACCGGACATTTATATAAAATTTTTAATAGGTAGGTATTTTTTTTCCAGCTCATTCCGGCCTGGGTGATTTTTAGAAGCTTTCACTATATACCTTCTATAGCCGCAGTTTGACGCATCTCGTATAGCATTTGTTTACCATGGGTAGTTTTCAGTATCACTCTTTCTCCACGTGTCACTTTGCTCCCGACACCGACCAGTACGGTATGGTGTGGAGATGCTAAACATTTGTCATATACATTATGTTTATTTATCAGATTTGAATGGTTGTAGGATTTATTACTGTATGTAATAGCCCTTAATCCCATTGCAGACGAAAATGCAAATAATTTCATCCTGCGGCATTAGACTTGTGACACTAACTTGGAGCCCGTTTGGCGAAACTTTGCTGAATTTTGCTGTAATTAAACTTGTCTGTGTTGAATATCCATAGTTTCATGCCCTTGTGTAAATTTCTAAGTCAGTGAACGTGAAGATCATTACTAGAATGGTACGTAACCATCTTGGACTGCAAAGCAGCGGTTACATTAGTTGAAATTATTGCTCGTGTATTATGTTCCTCACTGTGTACCGTGATATTTGAAGTGAAGTTTTCCAGCCACTTGGGCTGATGAGACTTCAGTGACATGGCGGTGCAGCATTCACCTCAGAAGAAATTTCCTGAATTTAGCCGGCCACCGACCGGAAGTTTGGCAGTAGTCACACGTAAGCAATCTGAAATTTTAGACCTATTGCATGATGTGCCAAACAATTTAGTTCATAGAAAAAGCTTGTATAATCAATACCTCGATAAAGTTGGGAACATCAAATTTGCTTGTGAATATTCAGAACTTCTACAAAAAAATGGCTGGCACCTCATTTACTGAAAATATCGGAGTTTCAGGAACAGATAGAGAATTTGATAGATCCGTTTGGGCCATGTTCTGACGTGGTTGGACCGTCCAGTATGCTGTCAGCGGCTTCTTCTAAAGCTTCGTCGGCCCGTATGAAGTTGGCTGAAAGGCGAGCTATCCTGCTAGCTGATAAAGAGACCTTTTGCTGAGAACAGAGTGGGATAGATCTCAGCTAAAGTTGCAATAGAAACGGCTTGAGCTTGAGTACCAGCGTAAGGCCATAGAGACCCAGCATTTGGAAGAAAGTCTTCGTAGTTTAGATGAGGAATTGGCCCGGTCAGAAGGATTAATAGATATTTCGCCGAGATCGCATCTGAATGTGCCACCTGTCGTCTTGACGTCCTACTTACCGCCTCCAGCGATGAATCCTGTCTCGACGTCCTACTTACCGCCTCTAGCGATGAATCCTGTCGTCTCGACGTCCTACTTAACGCCTCCAGCGATGAATCCTGTCCTCTCGACGTCCTACTTACCGCCTCCAGCGATGAATCCTGTCGTCTTGACGTCCTACTTAACGCCTCCAGCGATGAATCCTGTCGTCTTGACGTCCTACTTTACGCCTCCAGCGATAAATCCTGTCTCGACGTCCTACTTATCGCCTCCAGCGATGAATCCTGTCGTCTCGACGTCCTACTTAACGGTTTCAGCGATGAATCCTGTCGTCTCGACGTCCTACTTAACGCCTCCAGCGATGAATCCTGTCGTCTCGACGTCCTACTTAACGCCTCCAGCGATGAATCCTGTAGTCTCGACGTCCTACTCATCGCCTCCAGCGATGAATCCCGTCTCGACGTCCTACTTACCGCCTCCAGCGATGAATCCTGTCGTCTTGACGTCCTACTTAACGCCTCCAGCAATGAATCCTGTCTCGACGTCCTACTTATTGCCTCCAGCGATAATCCTGTTCGTCTCGACGTGCTACTTAACGGCTCCAGCGATGAATCCTGTAGTCTCGACGTCCTACTTATCGCCTCCATCGATGAATCCTGTCTCGGCGTTCTACTTACCGCCTCCAGAGATGAATCCTGTCGTCTTGACGTCCTACTTAACGCCTCCAGCGATGAATCATGTCTCGACGTCCTACTTACCGCCTCCAGCAATGAATCCTGTCGTCTCGACGTCCTACTTAACGGCTCCAGCGATGAATCCTGTCGTCTCGACGTCCTACTTACCGCCTCCAGCTTAGTTAGTGCCTTGTGTAGTTTCAGTTTTTCACGTCTTAGGCAGCCGAACACTTTGTGAGAGTCTACATCTTCCACCGGACCACCGGAAACTTTAGTCCGTAATACTTCTTTCTCCGTTCGTCGTCGAACCAAAATATAGGTGTAACTAAAGGGATTTGGGTCGGGTCTGTGGAGCTCCTAAATATTTTGACGGGCATTGGTTTGTCTACTCTTGATCCAGTGAGGTATGGTTTTCTGAACTGTTCGTCGCTGATTTTTTTCTGTGGTGTCTGTCTTCTTTTTGACTAACGGCTACCGAGGCTGGGTTCATACTTGGGGTTCCGTAGCAAGTTTTGGCCTACACTGGTTCTGTTATGTTCGTCTAAGGTTATTGTCATCTATAAATTTAGTCTGGAGTTTAAAGGTTTAATATTTTAGCGGAGTCGCAATAAGAAAGAATCGTGTGGATGGAGTATTTCGCATGTAGTGATTTGGAGAGAATACTGCTGAACCCCTCCTGGGGATTGAGGCTTTCAATATGGGCTTATAGGATGATGTCTGTCAATTTCCCTTGTGTCTGGTTAGTCAGTATCGGGGTGTGTTGCAGGAGGTTTCATGCGTTGATGACTTGTTTGGCTTCTACGTAAGTTTAGTTTCTTACTATTTAGTGTCGTTATTGGTGTTTGCTACGTATTTTATGCTTGCATAACGGACAGTTGGCAGATAGTGAAGTGATCATTGCCCAGTTCGAAATTCTCGCAGTCATTGCGGCCGTTCGCCGCAGAGACGTTTGCAAACGCGCTAATCTAGGCCGTTGTTGCCGACTTCACCTCGCGTCCAAGCAGTCTAGCGACGATATGGTCTCATCTGCAATGAACAGCGCGAGGCCTCGGTCGGCAAAAGCTGCGGCAGGCAACTGGCCGTACCTCTACCGCGGCCTACGTCGAATATGCCGTCGGTGACGGTTCAAGCGTAGAGGAGGCAGGGAGAGAAAGGGGGTGAAGAGTGAGGAAGGCGGAGGAATATCGAAAGAATCTTCTAGGCATGAATCTCAATATGGAGCTTTTACCGGAAGAAACTGATTGAATTATTCACTTACTTAATTTCTCTAAAATTATGAGGTTTATATGATTTTTTATTTTCTACATTTTTTTCGACAGTTCTATTCTATTCTATACTACAGCTAATCATGTCGCCAGTATTGTGTGTATTCAGTTTATTGACATAAATTCGATGAAAAACGCGAAATCAGTGGATAATCTGAAAGTAAATATAAAAATAAATTTACAAAATAATAGAAAAATATAAATAAATAGAGAAATAGAAATACTAAATGAACGCCAAACGGTAATGAATACGATTGAACGTATGGCAGAACTCCGATGCTTTTCAAATACAAGTAACTGCCCGGCTGCTGCGCATGCGCTTGCGCGGTAGTCTAACTAGTCTTCGCTCTATAGTCTATACAGAGGTGCGGCCGGGAAGTACCGAGAATGTACGTGTGGTGCAGTGAACACGACCTGAATTCGGTTAATTTTGAATAAATATTGGAGGTAAGGAACAGATGAAACGTAAAAATTTAATGTATTTACATTTTCACTTTTTGTCTCGGAGTTATTTATAAATGTGCCACCGTAAAAATTTCGAGAAGCCTACTTTTCTTCTATATTAAATTAGCTGTTATTTTGGACCTGATCGAGATGACAGAGTCAGTTAAACTTGAGCACGTCTGTAAGCTCGTATTACTGGTCACAGGTTCACTGATCAAAACTGATGAAATCCATTTTGTTGCAGGCAAATGTTGAATGCAGCTAAACCCGACTATAACTTTGCCCGCGGAGCAGTCGAGGTCCGAGAGGAATCGGGTGAACAGTCTCTCAAGTTCCACGGCATTGACTGCATTGATATCGGGTGCAGGAGGGACCTGATATTCTGTCAAATTCCTGCTTATTGTACCACTCGATGATTGTTAAAATGGCGAGAAGTTCAAAGACGACGTTACCTTCAAGGCACTAACTATACAGATGTTAAAGAACGATGCATCGCAGGTAGCATTGTGCGAGGCCCAAGTTCGTCTAAGGTCTTTGTCTGCTCGAGTCAAATTTTATGTCAACGAATGGCAATATTAATGTACAAAGATACCATAGGAATCTTTTTTAGGGCAAATGCTGAGATATTTCTATCAATTTATAACCGGCATTACTGGAGGTTTTTTTTCTATTTCTTAGTATTACTTGAACTTTTTGATCGAAGTTCTTACATAAATTTGAAGTATGAATTTCCTTTCCGCTGGTCGCTCGCGGTAGGACAGACTGACTACGGCAGCAGGCCCTTTGCCGGCCGAGAAGCTCTGTTGCAATATTGCGCTGTTGTGGACGTTCCTGCGCTGTTGATCCCCCTGGCGTTGCGCTGGGGCGAGCGTTGGCGCAGGCAAGTTCACCCGCGGCTGGCTTCCAGACTGCTGCGATTTCTGACTGGGATATTAAATGTTCGGACTCGACTATAGCGCTTCCAGTGAGGATGGCAGCAGGAGACAAGGATATTAAAATCCAGTCTGTGAACGAAGATTTCGATGTGGGTCAAGTCATCCTGTCGGGCCAAAGTGCTGTTGTGGATTTTGATAATCCAGCACATCATGCTTCCGACATAAACAATTTTTCGATATCCTTTAATTCAACTATATCTGCTCCTATAAATGCCCAAATTTACGCTCTCAAAGGCATTAATTTATCTCACTTGTTCTCTCCAACATCGTTTCGCGTGAGAACGGCGACTGATGACCTGACGATTCAAAGAGAGTCTTTTTCGAGCAAATACGTTGAATGTGACCCTGGCATGAGCGAAGTCTCATACGGACGATCTTGGGGTTTGACATTTATAGTACGTTTGTTTATTTCTGTGAACTCCATTCTTTATTAATTTACTATATTTATATCAATTTCTCTGCATCTGTAAAATGCATCTTATTTTTAATTCTGAAAGCCTATCGTTACGCTCATACAGGAAACTTCACATATCTGTACAGTGTAAATATGATTCTCCGTTTCGTCAAATTATCGTCTAATGATGATCGAATACAAATATAGCTTACTATTTTCCTTGCATTACAGCGTGGACTCGATGGCTAAAGACTCCCTCGATTGCGATTACATGCATCGTCTGGTGGAGCTCAGGTGGGAAGAGGAGCAGAAACGTCCTGCAGCTTCATGCCTGGTTGGAGGTGAGCTGGAATTATCATGAAGAAGCTTTAGAACAGTTTATCTTGATTGCCTGCATCCATTTGATTAGCTGGCGGGTGTCTTGTACTCTTGTTATTGCATTTTTTCTCATTTCATATCCTTGAAAGTGAAAAATTGTACACTCATGGTCTCTGGCAAGGATGATATTTTATTGACTACTATAGATTGAAAAAGTGTTGGAATAGATGAATATTTTTGTCGTTATACGTAAACGCTAGAATATGACAATCAGTCCCATCTCAGCTCTGAATATCCCTCTTTACACGATGATGTTTATTTGTTCACTTCCCTCGCATACAGAGGGTTCCAAAACAAACCCAGTTTTGGGACCAGCAGTATTTCCAGAGGTGTCCTGTGAAAAATTGTCATATCACAGCGAACAAAACTCTTGTAAGACCTGACGAAGTCAACGCCATCATCTTAGATCATTGGTGGCTGCGTGAAGAGAACGTATACGTGGGAGCAAATAATATTTTGTCTGCAAGAGAAAGGTTGGGCCTACCGCCTATATATAATTGAGAGCCGTAAGACGAATACACCTTTGATAATAAATTTTATTTCACAAAGTTCTTAAACCTGTTAATGAACAAAACTACAACTATTACGTTAACCTAATTATGTTCCATTATATTAACACGTTTTTCTTAACTCAGCTTCGCGTTTGTTTGTTTGTTTGTTGTTAACATTGACAACAAAAATTAACCCACTTCTAATTGCTCTAGAGATCTAAAATTCGGCATGCAGGCTGTTTTCGCCTAACAATTACAGATACAATCATAAAAACTAGCAATTAAAGACCTAAATTAGCGTAATTGAGTAAAGTATATATAATATATATATAGTATGACGTGCGGGCGCTGATGGGACCAGCAGTATTTCCAGAGGTGTCCTGTGAAAAATTGTCATATCACAGCGAAAAAAACTCTTGTAAGACCTGACGAAGTTAACGCCAACATCTTGGATCATTGGTGGCTGCGTGAAGAGAACGTATACGTGGGAGCAAATCCCATTTTGCCTGAAAGAGAAAGGTTGGGTCTACCTCCTATATAAATAATTGAGAGCCGTAAGACGAATAAACCTTTGATAATAAATTTTCATTTCACTAAGTTCTTAAAGCTGTTAATGAACAAAACTACAATTATTACTTTAAACTAATTATGTTCCATTATATTCATATATGATTTGCACTTGAATACTACGTATCACAAGTCACATATCAATAAAGCTCACTTAATCCGAGGTTAGAACAAGCAAGTAACGAGACAGGGAGAAGCTAACCGTTTTGCCCACGTGCCTCCTATTTAACGCGCCCCTGACGGCCGATAAAGGTTTTCTAATACACTTTACTTGTTGTCAGTGAGGCCACTGGGCACCACGTAATAAATCAGGAGGCAGCTAGTTTTTAAAGCTACATTTTCTTTTTGAGTTTTTAAAGTTGACTTGAAGTCCTAAACTTGAGGTCCTAAAGAGTGAGTGATCGGAGTACACGTTGCTTTGGACTGAATTCATACCGTAGAAGATCATATGCGCAAATTAATGAAAATTAATTTGATTTGAAGATTACGTGAGATTTTTCCCTGTTGCCACTTACTGTTATTGAATTAATGGAAATCAGATGCATAAATTTTCAACAAAACTACTGATATATTGCCGTAAATATGCTAAATATTTTATTATATTATAATATATAATATAAATATAATATGCGTTCGTTTCAGGCATTCTTTTTTAAATGTTGTGTTTCATGCATGATTAAAGCTATTAATGATCTGCATGAAATGATAAATCATTTAAATATTAAATAATTGGTAATTTTACTTTAATTAGGTACCCGTATGCAAAGATGGTCCTGCAGTCTTACGAAGCTCCGAGCCTTTACCCGGCTAATGACTTTGCACGCTACGACGGCCTTATCGACTACACAATGGGCTACAGACTAGACTCGGATATCGTTAGAACGTAAGCTGCTCTCTAAGATAGGACCAGTTTACTTTTAACGCTAGTGCTTAGCATTAATTACGATGAGTTTCATGCAAGATTTCTTTCGCAAAAGACTAAACTACTATGGATGGAAGAAATATTAACAGCCTGATGATCTTTTCAACACGAAAATCCTTATTCCAAACAAATTAGCTCTGTTTCATTTTCTGTACTCTAACACAGAAGATATAGAAGACTGGTAACGCTTTCAAACTTGTACACGCGCATTTCAAAACATAAAACTTTGTTCTGAACAGATCTGGAGCTGTTCACTTCAAACTTAACTCTGAGAAACTGAAGAACGATGTTCTTCAAAACCCTAACCCTCATCCAATGAAGAAGAGGAGGATGGCTGCCTGGTTTGTGTCCAACTGCAAGCACGCTTCCAGCAATCGAATGGAGTTGGTTTTTTCCTGTCGTTTTAAGAGTAATAGGCTGACCAATTAATGAACATTCTTCTTGGAAAATCTGTTAACAGTAGATTTCATATGCGATGATGCGCGGAAGATGTCCAGATATAATTTATTTGAACTAATGTATTATTTTCTGCTAGGTTACAAATTTATGGAATTTTGTTGGTAGGCTGATGGTTAAAAAGTTGAAAAATTTAACAAGTTTTGAAAATAGCGCTCACCACTGTCCGTTCAGAAATGAAAACAAGCAACATTCTTCTGAGAAGTGTGACGCTTATATTGACGTTTGATTTCTTATTAAACATTTCATAGATCCTCCGTACCCAGTTAAAATTTTGAGCCGAGACCGGCGCCGGGTATAGCCGGGCTGGTCGCGCTTTAGCAGGATGGAGCCGTGAAACTATAACCGGACATCTATTCCTAAAACGGCGCTGCGCCATGGCTAATATAGAGACAAAATTCTAGCAGCTCGGCAGGGACGGAACGCTGCGCTGTTTTAGCGCTGGTACTTGGATTGCTCGGCAGGGAGCTGAACAGAGCAGCTAAGCAGGCCGTGCATGGAGGGTTTTGAGAGAGGGAGGAGGGGTAGTGGTTGGAAACAGTTGCGGGAGAATGAACTTCATCCTTCATCTAGTTCATTCGCATAGTACGTTATTTTGGGTCAGTTTCTGGTGCCAGTTATGATATTTATTTCACGTCAGTATTATAATACTTTGAATTACGTGAGAATTTTATATGCTCTTCCAGTTTTAACACGCAAACAGAAACGTTTACGATCATTCACTCGTTGCCAAAGCGAGGTATCAATCAGTTTATCATGAGAAAGTTTTCTAACATGGATATACAGAAAACGCGTTAATAACAGTAAATGTTAGAGCAAAGAAAATACCAAGGTAATTCATCATTTTTTTCAAGGAAAATGTGTGATAATTACACATTTAAACACATTAAAATAACACATTAAAATAATTGAATGTGTTAGTTTCTAAATACCGTTGTTAATGGCAATACGATATGAATGTCAAAAACCAATGCCAATACAACCTGTCATTGCAAGAGAGAAGTCTAGGTGATCTCAGAAAGAGAAGGAAAAAATTTTAAAATCGTTGACAAACGGTAACGCGTAACTGCCGCATACACTGCCAGAGCCGCCCCAGAGCGGGCGTTGGGCTGGTTTGAGCAGGCGGTGCTCAGTGAGGGCTTAGGAGATTCCCTTGAAGGCTGACGAAGGCGCTGCAGCAGCACGGCGTGCAGGTCGACATATACGGCGCATGTGGCAGCCTGCAGTGCGGGACCAAGCGCACTGAAGAATGTTATAAGATGGTAGAGCAAGAGTACAAGTTCTACTTATCCTTCGAAAACTCCCTCTGCAATCACTATGTCACGGAAAAATTCTTCACTATATTACGGTTAGTAAGATTGTTTTGTTTCTCAATCTCGCGTATAAAGTAAATATTAGTTTGCCCGCGATGAACGCGTCATGGCTCACTTTTTCAATGACAATTTTCTGGCTGTTTTTAATTTTGCTTCACGACTTTCATAAGCTGCAAAGCATGACTCTTATAAGCTGTAATTAATGCATCAATCTGTCTTCCGAGAAGTTATATCGCCTTTATTATTAATTTTTATAATATCGTATTACATGTTATTGACTATCGAATATTTTAAACTAACTTCAGGAGTCTTGATATCAAGATTATATTCATGCTTTTATCATGAAGTCAAAAGTTTGTCACTGTTACCTTTTAAAAAATAGTCTGCATTATATCTAATATTAGTTTTAGTAACATAGGGACTGTAACACGAAGGCGCGAATCAGTTACATTACAATGAATGAAACCGTTCCCTCATACGACGTTATACATAAAAGATACGACGTCGTGCCAGTGACGTACGGTCTTGGCCACGAGTTGACGGGGGCGCCGAAGGACGCCTACATCGACGTACGTCTTCGACTTCCCCGACGTCCAGACGTTGGCCGCCTACCTCCTCTACCTCGACTCCAACGCCACCGCCTATAATGAATACTTCAGGTACAACGCACTTGCTGCCAACCCCAACGCTACCGCCTATAATGAATACTTCAGGTACAACGCACTTGCTGCCAACTCCAACGCTACCGCCTATGATGAATAACAACGGATGGAAAATTGACAGCCGCCGTAAATGAAGCTAAAGAGCTGAAATGCTGATAGAGAAATGAAGTTCAGCAGTACAGCAAGTTTCCCTGAGATAAAACCTCAAACCTACATATCACCTTTAGCTAGACATTTCAATCATTGGTGATATCATGGGACGCTCCTTTTTAACACGTTTTTATTAACACGTTTTTCTTAAATTAGCTTCGCGTTTGTTTGTTTGTTTGTTTGTTGTTAACATTGACAACGAAAATTAGCCCACTTCTGATTGCTCTAGAGATTTGAAATTCGGCATGCAGGCTATTTTCGCCTAACAATTTCAGATACAATCATAAAAACTAGCAATTAGAGACCTAAATTAGCTTAATTGAGTNTAAAAAGTAGAATATAAATTATGGCTCGCCCCAAAAAATGTGGGTCGGGCTGTACGTTCACCATCAAATTTCCAAAATTCGTGTGTTGTGTGCTTTTCGCTTTAATCATAAATCTGCCCGACACACGTTTTTTGGGGCGAGCCATAATTTATTTTCTACTTTTATATCCACAAGAAAAACGTTTTTTAAAATGTTTTTTTTTTTCAAGTATTTTATTGTACTGTGGTGATTATGCCGATTTTACTTCTAGGAGAACTGGAAATAAAATACTGTGAAAACTTGCTAACGTTGTCGTTAAAAATAAGACGCTGAATTGGATTTTTTTAAGACAGAAACCAAATTATTTTTCCATTCCACATTTCTATGTTTTATTTGATATTATATAATTTTTTGGGAACCTCCTGTGTTCTTCTTATTTTACACCTGGTAATTGTTTTTTAAGTGCTGCAGGTATGCACAAACCTAATTTCAAAATTTGATTCATATCACGACATTTTATTCAGCAATTTTTTAAATAGAATTAGAATACAATTTTAGCTTTGAGTCGCTCCTATTATTGATGTTACAATTCATGACAAATTTTATTTGTAACAAGTTTTTTAGAGAAGTTTTTATTATTTGCAGGTGGAAGCAGTTCTATGAAGGTAAAAATATCCTGGGAGAAAGCAGAGTGTGTTGCAAGGTATAAATATTCAATAGATTAGAATTCAATAAGTAAAGAAATAAGAATGTATATAAATTATTGTGAGTTGATTTCTAAAATATTTCACTTCATAAGACAGAATGGCAATTGTTATTTGTCTAATTTCAGCAAAACGTTGAGTAGCAAACCTATTCGATTGAATACTTTGATTCTTTCGACAGAATTTTTACAATTCGCAACAATTTCCTGGCTATTACTTTGCAGTTGTGCGAAATTCTGGTGCGCGGCATCGAACCCCAACGTCAATATACGAACGTGCAAGCCTGGCTCAGCGACGGGCAGTGCATCAACGCTACAGAGAACGAAGAACTGAGCATCTTCATCAACGGAAGCCCTACTTAGCTCCGCAGGCCCTATTGCAATCAAGGCTATGATGAAGTTAATAGGGTGGAAATATATTCACATATAATATATTATTAATATATATATATTAAATATTATTATTTCTACACTTTAACATCTCCCAATTTAGGCAATGAGATTCCAGTCAACTTTGATTGTACATGTATTTGTCGTTCCGAAATTGTGGAATTGCCGATTCTATGGGATCGGCAGCCAGTTTGCCGATTATGTAGTTAGCATTTCGTTGCTGATTCCGCGGTGTAACGTTTTAAAAACCGTGCGTTTTTATACCATAGGAATTTGGGGTTATGTCAAACAGCAAAGTTTTTTTTATACTTGAATATAAAGGAACTATTGACCGACCTTGACCCAAAATTTTCTAACTCTAACTAACGATTTTTGTTCCAACTCTAACTCTAATGCCCGAGTTTCTAACCTCTATGTATCAGCAACAAAATGATGATTATACAGAATCGGAAAAGTACCTGCTGATTCCATAAAGCAGTAATTCCGCCGATTTCAGCACGACACGTTGCAGATTCCATAGAATCGGCCATTCCCCGATTTCAGCACGACATATATATAGAAGGCAATTGGTATAGTCATGTGTGGTATTTAGGCTTTCAAAAATTAAAATATTTACCCAACTTTAGCTTCAAGGTTTCAGTAAATAATGAAAAAAAAATATTTAAATTCTAAGTGTTTTGTTTTACATAAATTCTAATTCAAAGAAACGGGTCATAACCTTTATTAATAAATCTTTGCGTACAATATTTCGGGTTAGGTATGATGAAAACAATATCTCATTGATTCGTACTAATGTATTATAAAAACAATCGAAGCTTTTAAAATTCATGAACAGGGCACCTTTCCATGATGAACGTCTTTTTAATTCTGCATTTGCCTCTCTTGCTCTTCGACATTCCCGTGACACCAGGGCCATGCGCTTTAACTTACCACAGGTTCGGCTAGAAATTGAAGGAAAAGGTACAGCTTTTAATTTTGTAACATATTTCAATGAATTGCCTGATGACTTTATAATAGACCGTTTCTAAATTCTTCTTAAAGACTAAGTTCAGCAATTTTATTCTTATCCAGTATTAACTTGAGTTCGATTATCATGTAAGATTTCAGCGTTTGCCTTTCTTAAAAAGATTTTTGATAAATATTTTGGTGTAAGTCAACGTTCTTTTGACTTTTCGTCTTAGTTGTATATGACTTTTTGGTTGAGTTGTTATTGCCCTTGCTAAGTTCATTTTTAGTCGCCATGCTGCTTATTTTTATATCAGTTTTATTGAAGGTTAGTTTATCAGGATTTTTTACCTGCTGTTACCTATTGACTATCTTATTATCATTATATGTTATTGTTCTATTGAGAGTAATATCGCCTATGTCGCCTAGCTTATATGGACATTCACAAGGAAGCCTTTT